CCCTGTGCCACTGGGGGGAGGAGGGAGAGAAGCCAGGAGTGGAGTTGAGCCTGGGAAGAAGGGAGGGGTGGGGGAGGTGTTTTAAGATTTGGTTTTATTTCTCATTGCTCTACCCTGTTTTCTTGGTAATAAAGTGGATTAATTTTTTTTCTAAGTTGAATCTGTTTTGCCTGTGACAGTAATTAGTGAGTGATCTCTCCCTGTCCTTATCTTGACCCAGGGGCCTTTCGTTATATTTTCTTTCCCCTGCGCAGCTGAGGAGGGGAGTGATACAGCGGCTCTGGTGGGCACCTGGCCTGCAGCCAGGGTCAACCCACCGCACTGTGCTTGTCTTTGCAAAATCAAATGTTCTGCTGCTTCTTTTTTCTCTGTTACACCCAGATATAACGTATAAACAAGTAAACCAGAATTGGAACAGATGGGCATATGAGTTTTACTGGAATGGTATTTCTTTGCTACTCGGCACAACCTCTACTTGTAGAGATCATGCTGGGGGCAGGTGGGGGGGGAAGAGAACAAATTAGGGCTCCATTCTTTAACCGAACTTGACTGAGATCATGCAAACCCCTTGCATTAATTGATCTTGGTATCATGTCTCCTGAATTGATGAATCTGAGACTCCTGAAGCAACAAACTGGATCGGTTCTGTGCCAGCTCTGTCCCCCACAGCTCGTTCAGGAAAGTCATTCTCATGTACCTGGAGCCCATCTGGGAAAGTCTAAACCCCAAACCATGTTTCACAAGGAAGAACCAAGGAATGATTTTCACCGGCATCTTTTTAACATAGTTTTTCTTGTTCAGTAGTTAAGCAGACTTTTCTCTGTTTCTTTCCAGAACAAATCCGTACCCATACCCTTTTCACCCCTTTACTAATCGCATTTGGAGTCGCTGCAGGACTGATGTGCATCATAGTCATGATCCTGGTGTACATATATTTGCAGGTAAAACCAGAAGCCCTTCTGCTTGAGATAGGAGAGTGTGTGAGCTGCCTGTGGAGGCTTCAGTAGTGACAGCCGTTCTCTTTCCTTTCCAGAAACCCAAATACGAAGTTCAGTGGAAAGTTGTTGAAGAAATAAATGGAAACAACTATGTTTACATAGACCCAACGCAACTTCCTTACGATCACAAATGGGAATTTCCTAGAAACCGGTTGAGTTTTGGTTAGTTTAGATTTATTTAACTTCATCTGCAAGGTGAAACCTTCAGGTCTCATGTGAGACTTCGGTCAAACACAGCAGGGTTTTGTCAAAAAGACGTTGCACAGTAATGCAGATAGTGGTAATTGCTTATATTTACCTTGGGACAAAAAGCAAGCAGGTGTATCTACAATAGCTTCCTTGATATCATAATATAAAGTGCTGAACCCTTCAAGAAGTGCTCCAAGTTGTTACAGAGTATTTTATTTTGCTTTATTAGGTAAAACCCTTGGTGCTGGAGCTTTTGGAAAAGTTGTCGAAGCCACTGCTTATGGTCTATTTAAATCTGATGCTGCTATGACAGTAGCAGTAAAGATGTTGAAACGTAAGTTGCCGTAATATACTGTACAGTTTTTTCTCCCTTCCTTCTGGTCGGTGTGTTACGTACTGAGCATTGTGCTTTGCCTTGCAGCAAGTGCCCATTTAACAGAAAGAGAAGCCTTGATGTCAGAGCTTAAAGTGCTGAGTTACCTTGGAAACCACATTAATATTGTGAATCTGCTTGGAGCTTGCACTATTGGAGGTGGGGTTATCAACAGATTATTGATTATTTCTGTTCCTTTTTTATTGCTAGAAGGAGGAACCTTGTGAAGAAGAATCCAGTGCCATTAAATATAAAAATCTTAAATACGTTTATTGCAGATCATCATGACTGTCACCTGCAAATTCCTGAATCTAGGTTTTTAGGCTCATCCTAAAAGCAGTAATGAGATTGCTGTAGCTGCAGCTAAAAAGGAAGGTTGCTGTTATTCTCTTTCATGTGAGCCATTGTGCACTTCCGTCTTGAGACATGACAAAATGTACGGTGTAAGTTTTTTCCTCAACCACACTGTTTCTTACGAATGAGAAAAGATAGGGGAACTAGTTCCTTGTTAGTATCCCAGGTGAAGTCAACAGGCCTGTCTTGTATAGCCTTCCAGCCTTCTGTTTAAACTGTAAATGTATCTGTTAAGGCACCACTGAAGTTACAAATTCTAAGTATCAGAAAGTTGAGAAAAAGAATTTTCCAAATAAATTATTGCACAACCCAAATGTTTCACATTTAATATTAGCTTAATAAGTTTGTTTTCATACATAGTAAAAGCTACAAAACAGCTGAAGTGTCAATGCAGAGTGATACAGTCCTGTACTTTTAATTTATGTGCATTTTAGTATGAAAGACAGTGTTGCTTCTTACACAAATATTTGCTCTTTAAGTTTCTGCTTCAGTTTTCAAAGAAAAGGAGCTTGTAAAAATTCATAGTTTTAGACGGAGGCAAAACATTTCTCACTTTCACATTTAATGACTTAAAAATAGGATGACACAATTTTGTTTAAACAGTCGACAAAGTAGACTCACTGGCCTGAGCGTATGTCTGTCTCAGCTGAAAAAAATGTGGCGTCGGTAAGAAAATCCCACCACAAACAGTGCTTTTGCTGTTACGAAAGCTATAATTTTTAACTGCAGAAAAATGGAAGTAAACTAGTGAGGTTAGGAAATGGTGGTACAGAATAACCTTACAGATGAAATAACACGCAGTGCAATTACATATTCAAGGGCCATAGCTGGAGTCATTCACTCAGAAAACATATATTTGATCTATAAACATCCGTGCTGGAGATGACTTGATTCTCCTTTCTGATTTCATTTTAATATTCCAAGACTTTGTGCAATGTAGTTTTCTGTCACAGCAGGCTGTTCTGTTTGAATGATTTTTCCTATTATACTGCAGAATATAACACTCTACATCATTTCCAAAACATTACTGAAGGAGTGTGAAGCTCTACTGTAAACAGAAGTGAATCAAAAGGATTAATGTTTGAAGCTTGAATTACTCTAACGTTTGGAACAAATAACTTCCTTCAGGAAGTCAGCAAAATCAAACAGATGTGTCTGGCCAGAAACATTATCACGTGAAGAAAAAGACTTACTTGTTTAATTTTTGTACAATGCAATGCTGTTGAGGTGGGGGGGAGATTAATTGGGAGCAACACAGCTTTAGCTGGACAATAGTTGCTGATCTGTGAAAGGGAAGATGTTACTTTTCTATAACTTTGCAAGTCTAGACAGTGCCAGGCAGTGTGATTTTTAATAGCCCAGCGTTGGCTGAATGCTATCTTTATGTAAGGTTTTCTGCTATGAAAACAATACTTGCCTGCTTTCTAAACTTCACGTACATCCACAGGTCCCACTCTGGTCATTACAGAATATTGCTGCTATGGTGATCTTTTAAATTTTCTGAGACGGAAACGGGATTCATTTATTTGTCCAAAACATGAAGAACATGCAGAAACTGCAGTTTATGAGAACCTTTTGCATCAGGCGGAGCCTGCAGCGTAAGTATGACCTGCTGAAACATACTTGTGTTTTTAGAAGATTGGGAAGGAGGAGATATCAAGGTTTATTAGGGACAAGAAATGTGGAGAACCCTTTCATGCAGCAGGCTTTGAAGATTCTTTGCTGTGCAAGGAAATGATTTAATTAAAGAAACGATTTGTACAGTGGGTGGTTTATTCTAACAGAGCGCGATTGATTGTATACACTCTCTTTTACTTCTTTATCAAATTTCCTGTAGTTATTTCATGCAACTCCTTGGCTTCAATCCTCGTACGTATTTGTGTTTATCATTCCTGTTACACAGTGGCAATGCTCATTTAGCAGCTTGAATGACAATTCCCCCAGTGTTGGGGTGTTAATAGTCCAAGCTCTCCTAAGTTCCTGCCTTCAGAAATGACTTACAAAATCAAACCAGTGCCCTACAGTATCAGAGGCAAGCTGCCACTGATAACTCACTAGATTTTGTGATGACACGACCTGTGTCACGATTCTGAGATTGCTCTTGTACTTTGGGTTTTTTTTTAGTTACTTCATCTGTGTATTTTTAACCACTCTGTTTTAGATACCATCCCAGAGCTCTTTCCAAGTATGTTTCCAAGCAGATTTCCTGCTCACTCCTTCCCTTTGCAAAGCAAGGGAGAAATAACTTACCGAAACCTAGAGGCCATTAGAATACCTCCCCATTTTTATTTTTAGTCTGTTTATTGCCCCAGTGCGCGCGTTACTTTGTGTTGGCAGACACAGAAGAATGAGGCAGACCTTTAGGAGGTGGTAAAGTCCTCTGTCCCAGCAAGACGTAATACTGGTGAAGCTGTTTAGATGGATAGCTGGTGATGCCCCAGAGAGGTTGGGACCACTGAGGCGATGAACACAAATCTGTGATTTGCCATTGGAGGTGTGCCCTCTTTTCAGTGCAGGAGTCTCACTGCTTGAGCACATTTTGTAAACTGAGGTATTAACGGTGGGGTATTTACCAAATTCTCGTATTACTATTTACTGTAAAGTTGCAGCTGCTAATTGCATCAGATGTATTTGTGGTGGTGACTAAAGCTATTGGTGATCTCATTACTCCTTTCCACGTTAGCTCTGTGGCTGCATTTATTGTTCATAAACTAAACAGATATTTCAGGCTACAGAAGGGCTATGTATATGAGTTCTAATGACAATGAAGTGAAAAATGCCAAAGTACATCCATCATTTCTAAAGGTGGCTAACTGTGTATTTATAAACCATGTAGTATGAAAATCTGTACATTTGAATTATATATAGCAATAAGAAAACTTAAAAAATGTAGCAGATGGCTGTCCCAATCCTCGGCTGATTCTTCGAAATACATACGAATCCCCTTTGGAACTTGGGAATCTCTGAATTTAACATTTTTTACCATTTGTCTTCTGCATTTGAATTGCCACTTGAGTTGCTGAAATATTCTGGTAGAAGTTGGCCTAAGCAGAAGAAGGAAACACTAGCAGATCCTGTGAAACATCTGGATGTTAATTTATAGAGAGTGAAGTCTGTATAAACAGTATATGTATGAAAGGTTTTGTTTGCTCACCTAAGCCAAACTCCAAACTTTGAGATACATCATTAGCTGTACTGACAGACCTCTCTTTCTGTACAGGCCTTTCCTTCATCTTTTTTTACACACCCATGAGTTTCCAATCCACTGATCATTTGTAAAGCATGATATTCAGAAGGCTGGCATAACCTTGGCTTTTTGTTTGGATGGCTTTTGAGAACATTTTCACTAAACTATGTTTAATTTCATCTGCTGCCTCAACAGTGATGTTGCCAATGAGTACATGGACATGAAACCAGGAGTGTCGTATGCAGTCCCGCCAAAAGCTGATAAAAAGCGACCAGTGAAGTCTGGTGAGTACAGTGAAGAGGGTTGCTGTTTGCTGGTGGGAGTGCAGAGAGAGGGGCTTCATGGATTTTTTCAGTTTTATCATACTTTTCTCTTGTGGATGGGGATACAATTAAAACATTAATTGATATGAGAAGGCTTGAGAAAGAACAGTATGCTAAATTACAGTGTCTTGAATTTCTCCGCACTTAAATGGGGTATCAGGATTATTTTTTGTGTTTTGGCAATGGGCTATTTACATGACTCTAGTCTGGTACTTACTCAGATCACTGTTAGGTTTAATGTTAAGACAACTCTGTTTCTAAATGATTACACTTGCTCTGTTCAAAAGCGGTTGTTGTTTATATTGCATAGGATCCTACACTGATCAGGATGTTACCCTTTCTATGTTGGAAGATGATGAACTTGCTCTAGATGTCGAAGATCTACTAAGCTTTTCTTACCAGGTGGCAAAGGGCATGAACTTCCTTGCCTCCAAAAATGTAAGTTAAGAATTTGTCAGAGCTGGACAGAATCAGAAGATTTCTGATTTCCTTTAGCGTCCCTTTCAGTGTTTTAATGTGATCCACATGTCTGAATGCTGAATATTTCTGTGTTCTTTTCAACAAGCACTACAAACTGATATGCTGCTTGTTGTACTTGAACCTTTGGCTAATGTTGGAGTTCTGTACTGTGCTCATTGGCCAAAAGTGTTGGTTTATATCCCATAAAACAGAGTGTAGGGTGCACAGTAGTCAACGTGAAGCAGTGCTATTGCATATTCACAGTTTAGGCTAGTAGCATCAGTGGCCTTGCTCATGAACAGAAACTAGTCATAGAAATGTCAAGAGAAGAGACAGAAGAGAGGAATTGCTGCAAATTATGTTTGCTGCATCCCGAGGCTCCACTGATCAATAATGACATGCGTTGGGAGGTGGCAGACACAGCTGAGCCCTGCCTGGCTTGGGTGGTGCCTCTTATGGGTTTGATTTTCAGCCCTTCGTTTCCTGGAGCACACACGTAGTTTCAAGAGAACTCCTGATGGCTTTGGAGGCAGTGAAACCCATAGGAACCCCGAGGAGTTATTTCTTCAGTCTTCTCTGGTGTATGGGAATTTCATGGAATTCAGGAAAGAACTGGAAACCCAACATGTGGACGCCTTCAAAAACAATTAAATGATGAGAGTTCAAGATTTATTCTCCATGGCATTGCTGGAGAGTTTACAAACTAAAGAGCAGTATGAAGACAGCTGCAAAGCTATTTGCATGATTTTTAAACAACACTGCTCTTGCTACTTCTCTCATGCAGAATACTGCCTTAAACAGGGGAGCTATCACATCGTGTGCTTTTTTTTTTAGCAGTTGGCTCAATGCACAGGATATGTCTTGGTTTTTTAATTTTCTGGAAAGATAAAGTCAGCCTAGAGACCCACAAAGAATCTTCATTGGCTACCCTGAGCATAATAGACATTTATCCGAGTTTCATAGGAGAGGTATTGGTAACAGAAAAGGATTTATAAAGAATAGAAGTCTTCAGCACAGCATAATTATGATCTTCCTATGGTTGTTCTTACATTTTATTGGAAAAATGTCATTTAACATGTAAACATTGTAACTAATATTGACACAGGATAGTACAGGTGCACCTTGGAGAAATTGCAAAACCAAACTTACGCAATTTAAGGAAAATAAGATAATCCTGGGATCCTGTGTTGGTAGTGGGAAATGTGGACCTAATTCTGCTTCAAAGGAAGTCCACATTAAAACTTGCTCTTGCACTTGTTTTTTCCCCTACTGTTTCTCCTTTCCTTTTGTTTATTTTTGATCTATCAAAAGCTTCAAAACAGGCCTGACAGGCAAACAGATTATATTACAGATTTTAATGGCTTTTATCAGGCTCCTGCATCCTTCACTATTCAGGACATTCAGTGCTTAACACACATACTCTTTATTTCTTCTTATTTTCCTGTAGAATAGCCCCAGGATTTGCTACGCGTCATTCCCAGTGCCTGTTTTCTTTATGGTCTTCCCATTGATACAAATGGACACCGTGGCATTGGGTAGCAAAAGCAATAATGAATGTAACACCACCTCACTGTGAGATTGGGAAGTGACGTGCAGTATCGCTTTGGCAGTGCAGTATTAACAGCTTTATCACAGAATTAAGTTGCACTGCATTAAACACATTACTGTGCTTGGTCCTCTTCGGCCATTGTGTACTTACGTACTCTTAGCTCCAGCCAGTAAATGCAGTGTAGTGTGGGCTGATGGATAAGATGCTTCAGATTGCCTCATACCCTCGGGAAAGGAGGGTCCACACAGACCAGCAGTGCAGAGTGCCCTGCTACTCCTCTGCAATTTGCTTGTGCATCAAGGCTCAGAGGCATAAAAGTGCCGGAGTTGGCATAGGAGCCTGTCCTGGGGGGATAATTCACTTATTAAGCACATGGTGCCATAATCACAAGACAGGGCTTCCTTCAAATGGACAAAGTATTCAATGCAAACTGCAGTGATTCTGGGGGAACAAGGCGGAGACGTGCAGGGTGCTTGGCCATTCCTTCACTTTACTGCTTCAGTGCAGTAATTTTCTTATGGAAAGTGAAGAACATGTTGGATTGGGAGGTGAAGGAGAGTCCCCTGAGACAGTAATTGTCATTAAGAATAGTTCCTCTTGTATGTGTGCAAAAGGGACAGAGATTAAGTTGTGTATGCAACCTGCAGTTATCATTTTCTGAGTTTGATTTGCATAATTGTTGATATTTTAAGTCATTTTTTGTAGGTAACTAACTCGTAAAGTTTTGTATTTCAAGGAAAAAAATGAAGAGAAAAATTGAACCATCTTCAGATGTTTTTTGGAAAGCTGTGACCTATGTATTACATACCATCAGTAAAGTAGGAGCTTAACGCTCTCCTTTCCAGATGGAAAAAGGGATCATTTTGTTAGGAAACTACCTCCATTCTCTAACAAATGCAGATGGGCTCCACAGTTGCATACAAAGAAAACGCAACTGCTGGGAAACTCAGGCACCCTTCTGGAGCTGCAGTTACAAGCACATGCACACTTCTCAACTGAAAACTGGAGTATAAGCTAGATAGCGCACCAAACGCGTGACTATTCATTGAAAGATACTGGCGCTTGAAAATTTCCAGTATTTTCAAATACTTAGGCCTGCTTATAAAACTCTCGTAGGTACTTAATAATTCAAGTCTTCCAGAGGAGTATTTTTGAAATGGAATTTATTTTTCTGACTTGTGTGCTTTGAAGTTGTTACCATCATTTTGCCTATTTTCAGCTTTTCAGCACTTTCCCCTCAACCACAATAGCTACCTAATAAAAGGTTGGAATGATTTTAGAAACAAACCACATTTTCCCCTTATGTGTCCTGTGTTAGGAAACAAGCCAGTGATTTTTTTGATAAAAAGTCAGAGAAAAACTGACTGCAACACGTCAAACACTAGAAAATTCAAAGTGACTGCAAGTGGTCTTTTCTAAAATAAATGCATAGACAACCATAACCATGTGGATCAATGTCAAGATAGTAAAGATACTACACCAGAATGTTTAGTAAGCTTACTAACACATGGCTTCATCATGACTTTAAGCTTGCCATAAAATGCATAATGCAGTAAGTTACATAGCTAAGTAAACATGTAACCAAGCAACAGCCTGTTAAGGATATTATGAACCAGCTTTGTTTGTTTGTCTGTTTGTTACTTAGTGCATTCATAGGGATCTGGCTGCAAGAAATATTCTTCTCACTCATGGTCGAATAACAAAGATCTGTGACTTTGGCCTGGCAAGAGACATAAGGAATGACTCAAATTATGTGGTCAAAGGAAACGTAAGTATATATGACATTTTATTCACCTGCTTTAAGTTAGGGGAGTTTCTGTTGTCTTGACTTGGAAAGAAAAGTCTTTCTTAGTTAGGCAGAAATGCAGATGTCCCAATTCTAATATATATCTGTGCTGGTCAGGAACATTAGGAGGGACAATTCCTGATGTAGATGTGTGTGCTGATAAAAAACCTTGGTATATACATGTTGTTACACTGGAAAAAATGTGTTGGATTTTGAATGTATGTTATAGTGGAGGAGGTGTTTTTGCTGCACCAATATAATGCCCAGTCTTTCTGTTATATCTGAACATACTAAAAGTTACAGCTCTGTGAGTAATTGCAAGTTTTGCTGTTAGAATATTCTGATAGCGCAATCCTAAATATAATTATTTTGAGACTTTTTCTCTGGGCATTGCTATATTTGTCCATTACTGGAATAGTTTATTTTTACTAATATCTAAATAGTCAGGGGTTTGCATTCTGTTCTTTGCTATAAAACATCACTCAGACAATGGGGACTGGATTCTTAAGTGTAAATTGCTTGATTAGAGCATAGTGGGAGGCAAAAAAGCCTTGCTTTTCCCTGATTCCATACACAGATTTTAATCTCCTATGTGTAACAAATACAGCTTTAACTTGCAGCTATAGTTCAAACCCTGTAACAGGTTGGAACAAGACACTATATTTTGATGAGAAAAGTTTAAAACCTCCTATGTAGAAAAGTACCAATCACCCTAGTACCTACTAGACCTCTGGAGGGATACAAAGACACTGAAGTGGCACAATTACCTTCGCAGCACTTGAAATCTCCTTTAAAGTACTAGTGTAGTAAAAGTAGCCCTACTACAAAAGAAAATCAAGCTTGTCTGTGGCTAAGCTGGAACAGTGTGCTACAAAGTATAGGTATTTTGCATCTCAAACTGGTTTGCGCTGCCTGGATTAGTGTTTTAAGTCTGTGTCAGTTACGTGCAGCCAGCCACTGCCTTCAGAGTACACATGCTTTCACTTGCACCGTTTTTCAAAGAAGAGAAAATCTGTGTTCAGCAAGGCAGCCCTCCTCCCCAGCCCAGCTGAGTGCTCCATGGTCAGGGGCTGGTTGTTAGTTAGGGACTTGACAAAACACGAACTGCAGCTTGCCTATCCTGGCTTTGGGAGAACTGGTGAAGAGAGAAAATCCCACACCTGAGCATTTCTCACCAAAGTGGTTTGCCATGCTCGGTTAACTCAGTCAGTCCATGGCATCTCAAGTATCTGAGATACCTCTGCTGCTCTGCTGTCACCCAACAGTCCCTGATGTCCCAGGTACCTACAGCATCCCTGTTTTAGGCTGTGGGAGAGACAAGTTTATTGATTGTCTTCAAAAACAATGTTAGTACCAGCCACTGGGTGCCTAGAAGTTGAGGTTAGAGGACAATAGGAGCTGAAATAATTCAGGCATGGCTGTCCTGGCAAAATATTGACTGGCATTTAGTGTAAGAAAGCTGCTTTCAGGATCAAGTCAGGAGCTGCTTGATCAGTCAAGGCTGCTGGGAGTGGGAAGTGCAGACCAGCAGCTTAGGAGGGAAGTGGCCAGTAAGTAATTAAGTTTTACTTGTCTAGGCTAGCCTTTAAGTTTCTTGAGTTGCCTGAGAATAGAATGCCAAATGCTGCCTTTCCTCCGCCTCATTTCTTTTCCTTTACATTTACCTCCTTTTCTCTTGGGTCTCCTTTCCTTACAAGACATCAAGGCTCTTCTCTATAGTATGGTTGAAATATATCTTTGGACATATCATTGCAAGGCCACTTAAAAGGAAGAGGTCTGGATTCTCCCACAGCAGGAGAAATCCTTAGGACAGATGCCTGACTGGCTGCTACAGTCAGAACAGGAAAGGGCAAAGCAGGGAGAGGAAAGTGGAAGCAAATCCAAAGGCTCTCTGTGCCCTTTCCTCTGCTCCAGTTAGCATTCCCAAAGGATGTCTATCCCCACACAAACTTATGAAAAGTCATAGAATCATAGAATTGTTTTGGTTGGAAAAGACCTTTAAGATCATTAAGTCAACCGTTAACTTAGCACTGCTAGTCCACCACTAAACCACATACTTAAGCACCACATCTACACGTATTTTAAAAACCTCCAGGGATGGTGACTGAACCACTTCCCTGGGCAGCCTGTTCCAATGATTGACCACCCTTTCAAGTGAAGAAATTTTTCCTTATATCCAATCTAAACCTCCCCTGGCACAACTTGAGGCCATTTCCTTTTGTCATATCACTCGTTACTTGGGAGAAGAGACTGACACCCACCTGGCTACAACCTCCTCTCAGGTAGTTGTAGAGAGTGATAAGGTCTGTCCTCAGCCTCCTTTTCTCCAGGCTAAACCACCCTAGTTTCCTCAGCTACTACTCATAAGACTTGTGCTCTAGACCCTTCACCAGCTTTGTTGCCCTTCTCTGGCCTCACCAGTGCCGAGTACGGGGGCACAATCACTTCCCTACTCCTGCTGCCCACACTTTTTCTGATACAAGCCAGGATGCTGTTGGCCTTCTTGGCCACTTGAGCACATTGCCAACTCATATTCAGCTGGGTGTTGACCAGCACCCCCAGGTCCTTTTCTGCCAGGCAGCTTTCCAGCCACTCATCCCCAAGCCTGTAGTGTTGCATGGAGTTGTTGTGGCCCAAGTGCAGGACCCAGCACTGAGCCTTGTTGAACCTCATGCAGTTGGCCTCGGCCCATCGATCCAGCCTGTCCAGATCCCTCTGTAGAGCCTTGCTACCCTCAAGCAGATCAACACTCCTGTCCAAAATATATATGTCAATATATATTTCTTTCATGTGAATTTTCTTTTTTTTTTCCTGATATACTGAGGAGCTAAAGCAGATGTCTTAACTGTTGGTTAAAGCCGTGAAGCATCTTAACTATGTGAATCTCATCTGTTTGCCTATAGTAGCCAGTCAATGGAAGCAGACTTGCATGTTTTCATAAGGAACCATGCCATGGTCATATATATTATTTTGCTCTGACTTCCTGACATCCCTTATAAACAAGACAGAAGGAATCACACAGTATACAAAAAATTAGAGTGCAAGGAACTGCACAAGTTTGGTAGACCCACAGAAACATTGATCAATAACCATTCAGCACTTGGAGACTCTAAAATGCTGAGATTTCCATTTTTGGTTGGATACTTGTATTTCTTGACTTAAGAAGTATTTAAAGCACATAAGAAGTACAAAAGGTTAATTTTATCCTCTAAATTTTGTATGCCTTATGTCCATTGTCTTCATTTATTCTGTTTTCCCTGGAAAGGCTCGTCTTCCTGTGAAGTGGATGGCACCTGAAAGTATTTTCAATTGTGTCTACACCTTTGAGAGTGACGTCTGGTCTTATGGGATATTGCTTTGGGAGCTCTTTTCTTTAGGTAAGCTCCTTCAAGATCTGTACAGGGGGTTTCTGTTTCATCTTGGTTTTACTGCAGATGCAGAAATCTTGTTGCTCACGTGCTCTCCCAACAGGAAGCAGCCCATATCCAGGGATGCCCGTGGACTCCAAGTTCTATAAAATGATCAAGGAGGGATACAGGATGTTCAGCCCTGAGTGTGCACCACCTGAAATGTAAGCGAGCAACCAGCACCTCTAATCACCCAGCATCAGCAATGATGCAAAGGAAGGGAAGCTGCCATTCTTGCATCAAGGCTCATTGCACTGCCTCATCCCTGGAAGTGTTCAAGGCCAGGTTGGATGAGGCTTTGGGCAACGTGGTCTAGCGGAGGGTGTCCCTGCCCGCAGCAGGGGGGTTGGAACTAGATGATCTTTGAGGTCCGTTCCAACCATAACCATTCTATGATTCTATGATTCATTGTCTTTTTTCATGTTTTTTTCACTTTTTAAATAATTCATGTACTCCTAACTAGCAGAATACATGCCTGTGTTGTTACAAGCAATGAAATACACTCATACCTTGTACCATCTGATCACTTTGTCATGGCATCTGCTTCGTGTCAATAAATTATTGACAGATCACAGAACATAATTAAACTTTTTAAATTCAGATAAAGCAGTCAGCGAGATGTATCACCAGACTGTACAGCATCTGCATTTGTGCTGTACTTCTTGACAGCAAGAGGAGTGGCTACTGATCATCTTTATGAGCCATCCTTAATTCACTGTTTTGTAAATGGATTGGCACTTAACAAGCTGTCAAAGAAAACTGTGTCCAGAGATTCCCATTAGTATTAAGACCTTTGTTGTCACAAGCATAGTTGTTAGCAGCACTATTTCTATTCTTAAAAGTCATTTAAAGAAGGTAAACTGTGGGCCTGGGTCACATTTTTCTTTGAAATAATAATGGAGGTAACATAAGAGCTCTAAGGCTTTCCTCATGAGCGGTACTTAATTTCAGTATCTTTACAGGTATGACATAATGAAGAGTTGCTGGGATGCTGATCCTTTACAGAGACCCACATTTAAACAAATCGTACAGCTGATAGAGCAGCAGCTTTCAGATAATGCTCCCCGGGTAAGTTATGGATCATCAGTTTTTTGGAGTTGAAGCAGTTTCAAGCAAGACGTTAGACTAGAACAGTGAGGAGCAAAGAGCCAGGGCATTTCATTAATTTTGTAGTATTATTTACGTAGCTTTGTATTGTCAGTTTGGGTGGTAGGATTGATGTCTGGGCTACTCACTTCTGCTTAGTTGTGCCATTAGACAGTAGCTGTCTAAGCCCATACCCAAAACGTACCAGCTGGAGAAGACTCTTTGCATGGTTGATGTTTCTCACTCAAAATAGACCTGGCACAACAATTTTGATGTTACAAAATGCAATGGTACTGCATAAATTCATCTTATCTTAAACTACAAAAAATTGTAGTAGTCTGGGAAACATCTCAGAAGTGAAGTATATTTAGCTTTTATTAGAAAAGCTTTCTGGATGAAGGGTTTGAGCTTTCACTGCTCTTCTGCCTCTTCTCACTGGCTTCCCCTAGCTCTATTTATATACCTTGGAGGTATGTCATGACAAACTCTATTCACTGCTCTTTTGACTACTCCCTAGTAAAAGCTTTTTCTGAGAGGATAACTGGACAAAACAATCCAAATAAAAATTGGAGGCACAGCAGAAATTTGGATTTTCTCTCACAATGACATTCTGTGTTACTGGGTTTTAAAACCTGGTTTAAAAATAAAGGTTCCTTTTACCTTCTGGATGCCTTGTTTGGGCACAGAGTACATGGTTTCCTGACAATCTGAGAAAAGAGGAAACTGAAAGCTGCTAGTGTTCGATTGCATCCTGTAGCATATTTTTGGCAGGTGCGGGCCTTACTAAAACAAAAGCAAGAATGTGAAGGAAATATTAGTGAGGTTTCTGGAGGAGTTTAGTAATAACCCAAGCTGCATTTTTTCAAGTTCAGTTGAAATTTGGCATGCAGTTGGAAGCTGCAGTGTTGTTAATAACTGAGATTGAGGTTCTTGATTCTTTAAAAGAGCAGTTAAGCCCAAAACCTTTTGAAAGTCTCTTTAGATGTGCAAAGAAACACCTGAGCTGGAACCCTTCCACGGCAGTGTGTAGTACACAGAGGGAAGAGGGTGGGACAGGAGAGCTCTCCAACTATACATGAAGGGAGCAGTCTGCAGAGCATTGACACCAGTCTTTGGCTTCTGCAGGTTTATGCGAACTTCTCAACTCCACCTTCTAGTCAAGGAAACGCTCCAGATCACTCGGTGAGGATTAACTCGGTGGGTAGCAGTGCTTCATCTACTCAGCCTCTCCTGGTACGCGAAGATGTTTGAGTGGCATCTGGAAGAAGAGGAGCCCAGATGTATTAGCTGTTTGTATTGTGCAGGGGGTGAGAGAGGGACGACTTCAATAATTTCTCTTACTTTTACTCACTACTTCCACTGTGTAGCTGAAACGTTGTAATACTGTCCTTTACCACACACTGTTACACATAAACTTAATCTGCTGAGCACGGTTACAGGCATCATCGCAATGTTAACTGAAGCTGTATATATTTTGCTATATTGTGTGTATTTGCAGTAGAGAGCCAGATCTGAAGAAAAAAAAAAACCAACAAAAGAGATCCTGAGCCAGGGTGTGGAACAAGATGACTGCAGAGCGTATCATCTGCAGTGATCCTTCTCTGGATCTGTGCCTGGAAGGCGTACAGTCATTTTCTAGTTAATTTTGTTTTGCTGAATTTAAGAAATAAACGAATATGAAGCTAATGGCTTTGCAAACCCCTTTCCACATCCAAGCCTGAGAAGCTTTCCCAGGCAGGTATCGTACGTTGGAGGCCAGTGCGGGTGCTGTATGTACCTGGGCAAGAGAGGTGAAGGGACCGAGACCCTTCCAAAGTTGGTCTGCACAGCAGCAAACCCTCCCAGGAGCTCTGGGCTTTGAAGTGGAGGAGAGGAGAAGAGCGTGGATCTTCATCTTTATTTCCCACCCGCACTGTCAGCCTTGCAGACCGGTCGTGAGGTTTCCGTGGGTACATGCACTACTTCCCACTGGCTCGTTCCCCACCAGGAACGGATCTGCCTGTCGCTGGGTCTCACCCCACCACGAACCCTGAGTGGCTCCTGTGCCCCCCTGCCTTGGGAGCCTGAGGGCTTCAATGCTTGTTTTGCTAATAGTTATGTCCAAAAGTGTTCACCAAAGATAGGTGAGCCTTGCCAAGTTGGTCAAAATAGAGGAGGAGGACTGCTTCCAGTAAACTGTGTGTCTGGAGGAGAGGCCGTTTAACGAGTCATCTTATCTAAGTGAGAGCAGAGGCAAAAAATTCTGTCCTGGGGGCCCTTTCTTTATCTTGTCCTACCCAGGTGAATCTTTCCCACAGGCAGGCTTGGATAGTGCTAACTGGAAAGGGCTTTTTTTCCCCCGCCCTGAGTCGTTTCATCTTTCTATAGTAGTCCAGAGATCATAACGAAGAAGAGTCTAACTGGGAAGCGCTGAATTTATGAATGGGATAAGAAAAGAATCCCTTCAGTCTTGTTTGACAGACATAAGACTTTGGGGTCAGTATCTGTTGAGCCTCGGGGTTGTGCTCAAGTACCTTCTAACCCCTTTTCTTCCCATCAGAAACACTGCTAGTTCTTTTCTTCCCTTGTTTCTGTCCCCTAGAAATTAGTAAAGGCATTGAGAGAAGCATTTGTCAGAGGCAGAGTACTAATTAAGTACCTATTTATTTACAATGCACTTAAGCACTCTGTAACTTATACTTTACCAGGATTTTGGTTGAGTTTACATGCAATTTAAATGTGTAACTGCCCAAATGCAAGGTAGTTGTAAATACACACACTGGTAGTATATTTTGGGTTATGCTGAACACCACGTTCCTTCTATGACTGTGCATTTGGTTTATTGTTACAGAAATCCGTCTTTCAGAGTTAAGTCAAAAATTAGCCATTTGCACTGAACTTACCTAGGCTGTTGCACCTTTCCAAAGTTAGCCAGTTGTTTGGAGGCACTCTTATGCATATTTGTTGTTGAGCATTTTCGGTTTTAATACTATAAAAGCTCTTTCGTAATGTGTTGGCTTTCAGAGCAACTGTAGACAAACTAGTTGTTATAATTATAGATGTCTCGGTACTTTACAGACACTTAGCTGAAAGAGGTTTGGGTTTTTTTGTTCTTGAAATTTATATTTTTATAATTTGGGGATTTTTGAAACTTATTTTGCAATGGCTTGTTGTTTTGAATGGGTTTATGCATTGTTTTTGTAAATATGGAAATGTAGCAATAATGTCCTTTTGACTATTCTCAGTCCTTGAGTCTCAAAAATATTTTTATATATATATATATGCAAAAACTATATGTATAAATATGTAAGTGTTTGAAAGTTTATGAAACACTTATGGATATGTTGCTTGGTTGTAGAATTGCAGTTCAGAAAAGTTCAAATAAATCTGTAAATATGTATTCAAATGCTACCAATGTGTACTATGTTAAGATGGAATATTTTCATGTAAGTCTTAATAAATTCTTGGGTTGAAGCAAAATCTCAGTGTCTGGCCACACAGCTGTTGGGCATTCTGAAACAGTTTTGCAAATGTGTGCCAGAAAATCTTAATGTTTATTTGTTAGAAAAGTTCTTTACCTGTGACTATATGGGACAAATACTTGGAAACTTGGATGTAGCTTTATTCTGGAAAAAATTGCAACTAGAAGATTGATCTTGCAGACTGTTGATGCAGTTTATATGTCATGAATAGTATTATTTAAAACTGAAAAAAAACCTCAGTGTTATTAAGGGTATGGTTGTAGAGGCAGGTAGAGCCACTCAAAGGCTGCAGTGATGCCGAATATTCCCCCTTCGCTCAAACTCACGCACACGTGCACACTCTTGTCCCCTCCTGCAAGCTGGCACTAGAGCTCGTGCTGGGGAGGCAGCATGAGGTACCTGCGGCTGCTCGGGCTGCGGGGGGTCAGAAAGAAAACGTAACGCTTCCCTTGCTGAGCCAGATGGCCTGTGTCTTGGTGGGAGACCCTCTGCTTTCATTACTCCAGGCTTGAAATCTGTGACTCACCTGCTCACACTTGTTCCTCTGCTGCATAAGGGTTTGCATCAGCATGGTTGGTGTGCGGTTTAGTAGTAGGTACAGAGCATATCAGCAAAAGTTGCTAGAACTATCCTACAAAACCCCCTGCTAACTCATATGAGACACAGACCTCGACTATTCTGGTCCTTAAACATTTGTGTTCTGTCAACAGACCTCCTTGAAGAGCTCCCCTCCTTCAGAGTTTGCTTTTTAAAGCAACTTTAAAATAACTTTTTTTTTTTCTCTTCCACCCAGGTCTTGGATCTGTTTGTTAAAACTAATTAAGGAAATTAAAACCTAATTTTGTCAAGAGCCAGGAGGTGCAAGCTTTGCCACAATTAGCATTGTCATCGTTTACTAATAATGCTTCAGAAGATACCAAGGTTGTGACTGATTTTGAACCATTTTTTCTCCTGTCGTATTGAAACCCCCCCTAATTCAAGCAAAATAGACTTTATACTGAGGCATCCCAGTAGCTGAATTGGTAGAAATAATTAATGAATTCTCATTTAGCATAGCCAAAGGAGCTATTTTATGTATTTATTCGGTTAGCACGTCATTAATTTTATTTTCCTGAAATGTTTCCCCTTCTGAAGCAACCTAGAATACAGCATCTCTGCTTTCTGAAAAAAATCTTTCTCCTATTTTCTTATTACAAGGCTCGTAGTGATTACTGCCTTTGTTCTTGTTCACGGTCACATGGACCATTTCCCCCTGAATTATTTTCTTGCGCCAGTTCTAAGCAATAGCTTATACAGAAAAGCACATCAGGAAGACATTTAATATGTATTCTAGCAGTCCTTCAAAGCATTATTGTACCCAGATATAAAGAGAAACTAGCACTATGTTACCAGCATGGACCATCAGAAGCAGGGACCATCATGGATCAAATATCTGAAGGACAGTGCAGAGAAGACAGAGCAGGCTGTTTTCAGCAATGTCCAGTGGCGGGACCAGAGCCAGTAGGTTCAAACTGAAACACGGGAGGTACCCTCTGAACATCAGGAAACACTTTTTTTTACTGTGACTGAGCACTGGCACAGGTTGCCCAGAGAGGGTGAGGAGTCTCCATCTTTGAAGATATTAAAGAACCATCGTCAGGCAGTTGGCTCTAGGTGGCCCTGCTTGAGCAGGGAGTGTTCAACCAGATGACCTTCATAGGTGCCTTCCAACCTCAGCCCTTCTGCAATTCTGCAATCAGCAAAGGCACTTTGGAGAAACTCAGCTGTAACATTCACTTAGCCAGAAGTAGAAAAGAAAATCCCACCCTTATACTGAACACTAGAGAGTGACTCTTCCTCTTTACTAGCTAGAGAAGAAAATATTTCTGGGCTGTCTGGGAGAGTAGAGTGTGGACACACCATGGTATATGTGGAGTTAGTAACCGGTACCATGTGCATCACCACCACCAGATTTTTATGTCTCTGGTTCTCCTTCACATCTGTACACCGTATAGGTCTTTGGGGAGGTTGCCTCACGATGTGCCTGGCCAATTCACCAGGGAATGACAGGTCACACCCTGGACCAAAATGTTCACAGCGATCGCTGGAGAGGTTGGACAACAGTATCCTCAATTCTACTGCATTGTGGGCTGAAGCTGAGAGAGTGAAATATTTCCTTCTTCCTGTACGTGGATTAGGAAACTTCCTACTTGTCCTGTGGGGAGGTCTGGGTCTCAACAGAAGGCAAGGAGCAGTTGCACAGATCTTTTAGCCCCTGGTTTAGATCTAAAGCTATAACAAAACCATGAAAACCTACTCTGTCGTTCTCTTATGGTTTCCAGAAACTTCTGTAGCTATGAATAATGGTTACAGATGACCTTCAATTGCCATGTTTCTTGAGCACCAATTTCTTAAAAGATTACACCATAACTAGTAAGTTTATGTCCAGAAATTGCTCTGAGGCTGTTTTCTGAAAGATTGTCCATATTCCATAAATTGATTATCGGTCACTCTTTCTGGTGAGAACTATTACCTGTCAGCTGCCAACCCAGCAGCAGAGATGAGTTACTAGTAACGATAGCTCCAGTGACTTGATTTTTCTTTCCGTGTCCTGGAAATCAGTTTAGCTAGGTTGTGACAGGCAGTAGAAACCAGCTGGCCCCTAAGGGCTTTGAGCCTGCAGCTCCTCGCTCCTCCCTAAGCAATGTCAGCACCATCAGATAAGGGGTTTGCGTGGCGGGTTTAACGCTATCCAACCATCAGGTCACCACGTGGGAAGGCACAGCATGTAGATTCCTCTGTAGATCAGCACACATCAGTGTGTAGTACAAGTTATCCCAGTACTTTCTCTAGATGTAGAAAGTGCAAAATAATCTTTGACTTCTCCCAAATACGTACATTTTGAGAAGTACCAGCACCGGTGACTGGCTGCGCTTCTGTGAATTATACTGCACGTGCTTTTGGCTGCTCTGAGTATCGTTACCAGGCAGGGGGTATTGCCCTTAATATGTGGTCGTGGCCGCGGGGGTTGGTGTGGTCATCAAAAAAGAAGTTGTCTTAGTGGCACATCTGAGCAGTCGCTTTTGGTGGCTGAAATAAATAATGTGACATTTGACTTGCCTGCTCAGGGTGGGAGGAGGGCTGCTGAGCAGGGCAGCCGACAGGGCTCTAGCTGCCTGGTGGCCTGGGGATGAAAGGACTGAAAGACATTCCTCGTGTCTCAGGCCCATTCAATGAG